CCCCCCCCCAGGCTGAAGGCCTCCTTGGCAGAGAGGAGCTCCGCAAGGGTGATTTGATGGTATTCCACACCAGACACGATGCCTGTGTGCGGTGATAAGAGAACAATAAGGGGGAGCACAGGACTTAAGGGGGCGGGCATAGAAGGAAGACTGCTTCAAAAGTCCAATCTTGTGGAAACATACCGCTCCCGACACGCCTACCTTGCGGGAGTAACGAATCTACGGCCAGTTCCCACAACCTTTTCACGGTGGTGCCGGCCAGTATACGCTCGAAGGGGGGTGTGCGTAGCACCCCTTCCTGTGTGAGGATCGCGACATTGCCGATGGAGCTTTCGGCCAAAGCCCCTGAGGGCTCGAATTGGATGCCCAAGAATCCTCCCTATCCGTGGTCAGGATATGTATGGAAGGCAAGCGTGAGATAGGCATTCCCATTCTGAAAGGGGCCTCGGGGGCGTTTCTTCAAGATCAAAGTGGCCTTTGGCATGGGGGAAAGAAGAAAACTCCGGGCAGTCAGACGGCCAATTCGAGGCCGTATGAAAGGCAACATTGGTTTACAGAGTGCAAGCAATCACCTTGTCCTCGGCGGCTTGGCAGACGAGGGCGTTGATAAGGTAGTTGGTCGACTTCATGGTCGCCAACAAGGGGTTCTTGAGCGGGATGTCCTCCACCACATGCTCGGTGATCCCCTGCAGCTTGAGGTCACCTTTGGAGGGATAGCGATGGACCATGACAAAGAAACCGCTGCTTGTCGTCTCTTTCGCGCTGATAGCGAAGTTCCCACGCCCTGTGAGGAGGACATGGGGGGCGTCCGATCGGCCAAAGGGAAGACGTTCAAATAGTTGAGACACGCTACCTTCCCTCCGTTCGCTTATTCGGCATCTACTGCACCTGATGTCATCCAAAAACGGACAAAGATATCGTCTCGCACTTGACTGGCCGCCACAGTGCTGAGTATGATGTGTCGGAGTTCTTCCTTCGTGAAGGCCGGATGAATGCGTGCCAAACCCGCAGACCGTAACAACCTTTCCAAATGGAAATCCAGGCCGTAGCAATAGCCACGCGACACATTAGCAGTATCGAAGACGGCATGTCCTCGATGCACCATGTGCTCGTCCATGGGAACTGTCATTAGGGCCGGGTCAGTGACGATACCGCCGAGCACGGAGCTGTAGAATGCCAGAAAATCAAAAGCACTTCTGGGTAATTTTTGCTGCATGGCGTAAAAAGCATCGTCTAAGTCCATCATAGGGGGTCGAAGAGGCCCCGGGGGCGAGCTCCGCCGCGCTTTTTTGGCAGAAAGCATTCCCATTTACGTATTCCGGCAAGCCCGTCGCAGGCGGTTTGCTGGTTGAAGCCAGAGGGAACGGGCCGGTCGGCAAGAAGAAGTCTACGACACTATCGTGAAGGACTTGACAGATGCAAATATTTTTGAGTGATAACGATGATGTAAAACATGTTTTGTGCTGCAGCGAGAAGCCGAAAGACATGGCTCTATAAGGTATTAACCTCCCCGAACAAACCTCCCCCACCTGTAAAACGTCCAACACTGAGTGAAGGGAGGACTATGATAAAGGTGACATGCCAAAGAAATTGATTTTTTTACCCTAAAAGATGGAGGCAACATTCTTTCTTTTTCGCCACAATCCAGAGAGACGCATGTAAGTGTCCTCCCCCCCTCCCTCTCTCCCTCGCAGTTGTCGGCATTGCCAGCTTTCACAACATGATTTATTCAATCGACAATATGTAATGAGCTTCTTCAGGCCCAAGAAACATCTTGTTGTAGGCCATTCTAATGCCCAGATACCTCCAATAAAGAGTCATATACACGGCAAATTGACTCCCTTTTTGATACGTTTATCAACACGCACACACTGGAACCTCGTTTCATGGTGGTCCCTCTGATCCAGTGATGGCCTCTTCTTTTTGAAACCTTCCATAAACAGTCACGCCGAACGCCCATCTTCACATGGCCACCCTCATTTCTCTCATCCTACGGAGGAAACCAAAGCCGGGACGCATGACATCAAAAAGGGAGGCGAGTCGAGGTTTTTCCCCCTCTCCCGCGAACCTTGCGCAGGTGGTGTGCCCGATCCAGTGACTTCGGCCGCCTTGGTACCCTTTCCACCAGACGTCTCAGCGGTAGTTCTCGCCTCGTAATGCACGTCTGGGACGCACTGGCCGTGAGCGATGGGTGAACGCAATGGTGATGTGGGCGGAGCTACCTCCACCCCCGCATCTCTCATCTGCTGTCGTTCCCGAGCCTCTTGGAAGATACGCTCCTGTTCTTTCGCGAGCTCGACTTCGCGCTCCTCCGTCTCCCGCAGCGTCTTCTCCTTGGCCAGTCGCTGGTGCTCACGACTTCGGCAGGTCTCACACAGGCAATCCACACACGCGCAATGCCCGCCCGCGCAGCCCCGACAAATCAGACATTTCCGACGCCCTTTACACTTGCAGGCCCGGCTGTCGCCCTCCCGGCCATTAGGCGTGCAGCACATGGCCACCTTCTTTTCCTCCCCCACGGTCGTTCCTAGAGCCGCCATCGCCGCAGCACATTCCTCTTTACTAGTGTGCACCTGACAGCCATGGGACCCCGCGCGCCGCCTAGAGTCCAAACGTTTGCCACGGCCAGCATTGGTGGTTTTACGGCGGCGTTTTTTGGTCGTGGTGGCCATGAGAAGAAGGGGGCTCGGAACCTCACTCCCATCCCCAGAATCCGCACTGCCAGTGGTGCCGCCGAGGGAAGACTTCCCCGTTGCGGATTTCGTGGTCGCATTTTTCCACCGAGATAACCTGGACTTGTCCAAAGCGCCTTTTGCAACCTCGGTATTCCCTGCTTTTGCGTGGTGTACGGCGGCGTCCGTCTTGACCAGACCCGCCGCCTCCTCCATCTCCTCGGATGCACGCTCTCCTGTCCTCCCCGCCACTCCATTTTCGTCGCTCTGCCCCACCAGTGTAGCACTCGTATCGTCCCTCCGAGGGGTGTGAGGAGAGTGCCCTTGCCCTGCTCGACCGGCAAACACGGGCGACCCGGGGATGGCACTCACCTTTTCCTTTCCCTCGTCTGGGGCATCGGTCGCAGTATTTAGTCCAAAGTGCTCCTCTTTTCTTCGGCTACTATGTTCCATAGTTGCGGTGGCCAAAGCGTTTAATCGTTTGCTAATCGATTTCGACTGTCTCCCTGCCGTTGGGGCAAGACGGCTGGCACTTTGGTCGGCCAAGACTCCGTTGGTCAGAGGCAAGGGGCTGACATAGGGCACCATTTGATCACTGCTGGTGCTGCAGCTGTGGTCTATTATTGTAACCATGGCTAGGCGATGGTGAAAAATACTGTGTGATGAGAGGGAGAGATGGGCAAAGGACTTGAAGGCATATGCTCTGATCCGTCAGGGGAAACGAGGTGGGATCGGACCGTGCAAGCAAGGGTCACAAACTTCGCGCCTTGCATACGCCTTCCTTCGCCAAACAAAATTGTTTCATATGAGCCTGTACGCTGTTACGTTCAATCATACAGAGGGCGCTTTGACTCTCAACCACACGCTCATTGCTCCAAGACGCTAACTCCAACTACCCGGCGTATCCAAGCTCCTTAAGGAAGAAGCGTCAAGTTACGGGCAAGCACGCATCTAAGCCCCGCTTGAATACTAAGTACCACAAGAACTTCCTAAAATCTTACAAATAATCAAGTTTAGAGAGGTTTGAAACGCTCTCGGGGACAGGTATTCATCATCAGGACGGTCAAAGCCAACATATATGGACGTGAGATTTCTCATCCGGGTATGCTTTTCTGACCCCAGTGCTAGGGTTGAAACAGTCTCTTCCATGAAGTCGCCATTGAGATGATGTGCTGCGTGTTTCAGTGAATTCGAGCTCGGGGAACGTACTTGCTACGGAGTTCACTTTAAAAAGAACAAAATTGAACGCAACCAAGGCAGACTTTCCGTACTCCATTTCCTTTCAAAGAGCCCTTTCCCAGTTACCGTGATCTTCACACGTAGGCGAAAAGGACTGCCACTCTGGATTGATACGTGAACCTCCCAACACTTTGTGGACCCTCTGATATCGTCTGCTCGTCTCAACGCGCGTCTGGTAAGAAGTCAGGAGCACTTCCCGCCTACCACCCGACCACATATCGCCCGCGACCCGATTAGAAGGCAGCTTTCTTTGCGAGCTCGGCCTCCACGGCCCGCTGACGGATCTCTAATCGCTTCTGCGTCTTCAAACCCATGATACCCCCACCCCAAGTACGCTCCTTCTTATCATTGAACTCCAACTTGAATTCTGCACACATCTTCTCGAAGGTGGCCTTATCCTCCTTGCGTGCCTCCTCCAACGCCACTACCGCCGCGTTCTTCTTGTGGACCAGAGCTCCCAGACGCGCCTTCCCTTTCACAATGGCGTAGGGGATGCCTTGCTTGCGGCAGAGGGCAGGGATCCAGACCACAAGCTCGATAGGGTTCACGTCGTGGGCGATGGCCACGAACTTGACCTTCTTGGCCTCAATCAGCTCGGTCACATGCTTCAGACCATACTTGATGACCGTCTGCTTGGCAGGCGCTGGGGTCTCTCCCCCACTCGCCTTGGCTGCCGCCAGTTGCTTGAGACGCTCGCGCTTCTCTACCTTGCTCTCTGGGCGGTACTTGGCCAGGAGCTTGAAGAGCTCGGTGGCCTGGTTCTTGTCCAGTGCCTTGGAGAACTGGTTGATCGCAGGGGGCACCTTGAGGCGCTGGTACAGAATCTTGCGTTGTCGCTGGATGCGGACATACCGAGGCCACTTGACAAAGCGGGAGAGGTCACGACCCTTGGGCTGTCCGAGAGACGAGTGACGAGAGATACGGGGGGACACGTGTGAGTCCAAAGTGAATGAGCAAGCCACAACCAATTCGACGAGCGTGGTCAAAGGGGAACTCCAAGCAGAAATGTCTGAAGACTGCGAACGAGCACAGTCACACATGCAAGAAGATAATGTTACCAACCACCCCTGCCTCAGCCCTAAGACCACCCAGTACGCCGTACAGACATACACTTCATTTCGCCCTGCTTTCGTGATCCATTCCACGGGCATACACCCCCGGAGGCATTGACTTACCCGGATGGCCCCCCCGATGCGGAAGCTTCGGGGCTCTGCGGCGAAGAGAGGGTTTGCCTTGGGGGCCGCCTTCTTAGCGGGCTTCTTGGCGACTTTCTTGGGAGCCTGAGGCATACAAAAGGCATGTACGGGGACAATATGTGTGAGAACAAGACTGTGCGAGGTGCTATGTGCGCCTATGGCACCAAATCGCATGACCTCTGCCTTCTTGTGCCCCCACGCTTGTTTTCCTGCCACAGTCACTGCTTCCAACCCTCATTTCCCATTCGAATGCCTCATTTCATGATTGACATCGACGATATGAAAGGCAGAGTGATCATGCACAATTAAACTGCAGACTTTGACTTCACAAAGTTTTCTTCGCTCCTCTCCGCATCGCCATGGCCTCCCACCCATCCGCTCGATCGGTATGGAGCAAGTCACTTACCATTAATATCGGGACCTCTGGTTAAACGCACCCACAAAGCCTATGTGACTCCCCTGTTTGTCGATCGAACGGGAAAGAACGGGTATAAAGAGGGAACGAGGGGCGGTGAACGCATTGCGTAAGAAAGAAAAGTGATGGGTTGCGAGACTCGAGAAGGAGCGGCGGGGAACGCCCGAGCCATTCGGCAGCCTAAGACTTCAAACATACTTAATCATTTTCGTCTCATTGACAGAAAAAGGATTCCAACGTGGAGACAACACACAGCACCGTGCATGTGTCGGGGCCGTGGTGCCCCATGCTGTCGCACCCTGGCCACGAAATGCGGAGAGGGGCCCAAGGCCTGAGTGCTCATCCTCCCCCGCCTGCCCCCGTCTTGGCGCCTTCGTCCTCAGTGGGAATGCGACCATGGAGTCCATCCTGACAGAGGCAGCGTGGGGTGACGCGGTTGTGTTTGGCCTTGCACGGCAAGTTTACAATGTTTTTGGCTTGCGTGATACACTTTGAAGGTGCAACTAGCTATCTTGGGGTGCGCTGACCTCCTGCCCCTTGGCCGGAGCGAGAGCTCCTCCGTTGAAGCTTCGTCGTCCTTGCTATTAGTTCTCTGTGTGGTCTTCACTGCGTTATTTCCTCCTCTTCCCTTCTACATAGGTGGCGCGCGCGCGGTTCTAGGGAGGGAGACAGGCACTCCCAGCGTCTCGGCCTCACCAAGGTCATTGCCAGGGCCAGTATGGGCAAGATGATTCCGGCGTCCGATCTTGTCACGACCCTCTTTGAGGTTGCCCGCAAGTTCTTGCTGATGCAGTACCCGTACGAGTTCGAGGTGCGTGTGCTTGCAAAAAGACCCATGATCTGTCTCCTCATGTCGCCAATGGAGTGCACGGTCTCTTACCTGTGGGCAATCAATGCTGCCGGTGTGCGAAGGGCATGAAACTTTCTGCGAGAGGAAGGAGGGATCGATTGTCCGTCGGCCTGTCGCCTCGGCTCAACCCCTCGCTTTGCTCTTCTTGTCTTAGGACGGCAGTGATTTGAATATAAAGGACCAAGACGTCAAAGTGTTGGGATATGTTGGCCGTGGGAGTCAATTTATTTTTCTTACGCTTTTTGTCCTCCTCAACTCCTGCCTTCAGGTCTGTCTCTTTGCTTTCTGTTTGGGTGCCTCCATGCGGGTGCGGCCTTCCGCGCAATATTCCTGGCTCCACCATTTGGTCCTGGTCTTCCTGACGGGCTTTGCGGGAGGCACGATCATCCCCATGTTCTTCGGGCGCACCCCGGTTCTCTTCGTGAACGACCTCCTCGTGCCCCTGGTCTGCCTCTCCTGGTACCTGGTGCACTACACGCGCGTCGGCGGCCTCCTTCAGACCTCCCCCTGCAAGTTCCTCCTGGTGGCCCTCTTCGAAATCTACCGGGCGGCCTCCATCCTCAAGACGGTGGGCCAGGCGACCACGGACATTGCGCCCGGGCCCTACTACCCCATCGCCGTGGTCGGTCCCGTTCTCGTTGGGACCCTCTCTGGGAGCATGGGTGCCTTCATGCCCCCCGACCGAGGCATTTCCTTCCTGGCCACTGGCGTGCCCCTGAATTTGCAGACCACGCTCCTCGCCTGCCTCTTCTACCACCTGGCCGCCCACGACCCGGCCCTCCCCGGGGCCTACCTGCGCGGCCTCCCCGCCCTGCGCCTGAGCGACCCAGAGAACCTCAAGGCGCTCACCGTCTTCTTCTTCGTGGCCATGGCATTCCTCTCCCTTGTCAAGGGCCCCGACTACAACCCCTTCACCCCGGTCCACACGCTCCTCTACCAAGTGCTGGGCATCCCCCACTCCCCCGCCACCCTGGAACGCCTCAAGTCCACGCGCCGCGCCCCCAACGCCGGCGACCACGGCCCCAAGCCCGCGGTAAAGGCCTCGGGACGCCTACTGGGAGCGAGCAAGGTGCTCGTCCCCCTCTTGGCCATGCTCGCCTACCAGCTCCAGGGCAAGCTCGCGCCTCGCACCACCCTCCCCGTCGGGGGGCGCCTACACCCGGGTGAGTACATCGCGGCGTGTGGCCCCCTCCAGTCGTTCACTGGGCACTGCAAGCAGCACTTTTTGACTCTGGATGCTGAAGGGCGGCTCAGCCTCTATCGTGGGGCCTCGCCCAAGGACGCTGGCAGCCACCGCCTCTGGCAATCCAAAGCTACCCGGAGGAGTGGGAAACCCACGGAGGCCGGCCTCTTTGCGGAGCTGAATGAAGGGGGTGTGCTGGTCCTAAAGCATACGGCGGGGGGCGACGCCACGTATTGGACGTCGTCCTCGCGCAAGACTGAGGGGGAAAAGAAGGGACAGGACGCAGGGAGGCTGCATCTGCGGGTCCTGGAGAGGGGCGCATTTGGCATCTTTGAGGGATCTACGCCTTTGTGGACCTCAGACGGAATTCTGCGCAAGGACACGGCATAGATACGGGAGCCGGTAACAAGTGTACAGGGGGCTGTGGGAGAAAAACGGTTTGGCGCGGGTGCCTGCCACGGAGGGGGGGGAAGAGAGGCAAAGCGAAATCCGAGCGCCTATTGAATAAAAAAGTATCGACAAAGCTGGAGAAAATAGAGGTTTGCAAGCTACAGATGATTCATCTATTTATTTTTCACATCATGGAATTGTGACGATTGTTGCCTTCTTTCGCCACACAAGACGGGGCTTCCCAAGGGTCCGAAGCATCCGCTCACGCCTTCACCCTTGCCCTCGGTACCAAGTCGCAATAGGCAAACCGCCCAGCTGTTCCCCTGCTTTCGACATGCCCCACCTGCACGGGGACAGTCGACGAGAAGACAGGTCCGGCGCTGACAAAAGTGTGGAACTCTCCCTTTTCCCCGCATAGGTCCACGTGAGCTGGCAAGTCATCCAGCAAGGCAGCATCATACTGCCGGCCTACGTACGTAGCGTCCAGTTGAGTCGTATCCACGCACACCAAATGGGCACGAAATCCCAGCGCAAGGAAGTCACGCGCCAATCTGGTCGTGTCGCGACCCCAGAGAGGGAAGAGAGGAAGGAGAGGACAACCACCATGGCCAGACCACCGTGCTAGCACACCCATGCGATAGTCGCGCACGTCCGCCAAAAAGATGTCACCAAATGCCACATATTTCAGAAGAGGAAAACATTGTCGGGCCTCAGCAAAGCAGTCAAAAATTGCTCCTTCATATTGACAATTGGTGCTCATGACGGGGAGGCACACATGGAAAACGGTCAAGTCAGAGGGAAGGGCGGCAACTTGAGCATCCAATAATTCCCTTCGAACCTCATGCACGCTCACGCGGTCATTATCTTTCTCTACTTGAACCATGATACCCACTACATGGAAGTTGGGATCATTGCGTAGCACATGCAGTGCCATGGATGAATCCTTCCCTCCTGAGAAGGAAAGTAGTACTTGCGATGGTTGTCGACCATTGGACTCTGCTGAGATACTACTCGAGACTCCGACATCCTCTGCCATTTCCGAAGATGTGTCCTACTGCACCGGAAAAAGTGAAGCGATTTCAATGCGTTGGTCAACCACTCTCCTCCTCCTGTCGAGCGCCCTCCCAGGTTCCGCGAACCATGTCAGAGCGGGCTCGGAAGGCTCCGCTATCCCCGCTCCATCTTGCATCTACCTGTCCGAAGCCAGTTTTATGTTCTCGTGTTCCCTTGATGCTCTTTCGACCCAATGAAATCAGAAGACGAGATGTTGACAAACATGGGCAGTACGCGCGCACGTCTTGCACCACTGGCGTGTCCATGGATTGCGCGGTTTTAGGGACGGTGGGACGAGATCCGGGGCGGGCTAGCGACTGTGGAAGGGGATCTCTGGATGCTTTTGTTTGCGCCCGGCAAATACCCTTTTTAACCTTTTTGTTCTCATCGTACGGTACAGGAATCTTTCTCAAATCCATCAAAGTAGCAACATGTCCGCAGAGAAGGGCGCCAAGATTTTTAAGACCAAGTGCTCCCAGTGCCACACCGTCGAAAAGGTGCGTTTGCTTGCATGCGTGGCAAGCTTGGATGGTGGGAGGGGGGCAAGGGGAAAGGGACCAGTAAATGTGTATAACGCAACCAACGAAGTGCCATAGAAAGTGGTAAATTGTAGAGCTCTGAACTTTATTTTAAGGTGGGGCACATGTGTGATCCAAGAGTGTCTGGTGCGCTGGACGGTGTGTCAGATCGAATTATGGCAGGCACTACTGGGCGCCTCGGTCCATATATAGGACTCCAAACAAGACGTGTTTCTAATAGTTAGACTCGTGCATCCATGTATATTCCTCTTTCGTCGATGAGTCTGCAACATGGCTGGCGTATCATGCTGTCGGGCTCGATGAAGCGAGTCCTTGAGAAAGGATCCCAGTACTGGACCTTGCACCCTGTAATTCCTTCGAGATGGTGGCGTGTCTTCCCTACAGACCTCTCCACTCCGTCCCGCTTGGTCGCCATCACATATCCACCCGCTGCCGCCACTTACTTACGTAACCCTTCCCTGTGATCCGTTCCCTGCCCTTGTCGCACCATCCCAGGGGGGCGCCCACAAGCAGGGTCCGAATCTGAACGGCCTGTTCGGGCGCCAGTCCGGCCAGGCGGAGAACTACTCGTACTCAACGGCCAACAAGAACTCAGGCATTATCTGGGGCGAAGACACGCTCTTCGAGTACCTGCTTGCCCCCAAGAACTACATCAAGGGTACCAAGATGGTCTTCGCGGGGATCAAGTCCGCCAAGGACCGCAAGGACCTGATCGCGTACCTGAAGGACTCCACGTAAGTCATGCACTCGTCACCCTGTCAGACGGAAGCCTCGCTTGTGTCTAGGGATGACCCCTTGCGTCGCCTCGTCACTTATTTTGACGGTCTCTCACATCCTCCCCGTGCCCGCTCTCCCCCGGAACTCTTTCAGAGCCTAAAGACGATAGGTCGTATGGCACTCCTACATTTTTGACCGCGGGGGGGTTAGAAGTTGAAAGAATGGAAGCGGAATGTGTGAATTAGATGACATGATGAAGGATCGGAGGAATATGAAGCACGGATGAGGGAGGGAAGGGGCGACGCGAAGCAAAGGGGCAAGGGACTTGCTGCATGGGGACGACGGCGGGCTGGCCAGGAAGCGGGTTCGAACATGCGGTATCGGCCACCCACTGTCGTTGGAGAAGCAAGGATTTGATGATGATGAGCGGGCTCGGGCGGATGACGCGTGGCGCCAGGAACGGGGAGGCTGCGGAGGGCAAGGGAGAGAAGGAGAGGGAGGGGGGAGGGGAAGGACGGAAAAAGAATGAAGTACAAAAGAACCCGAAAAGACTAGTTGGGGTCCAGCGAAGATTAAAGAAACGGCAATGCATGGCGTTGAGAGAGGAAGGGAAAGGGTTTGGGGTGGGTGGGCCTGGGTCCTCCTGGTCGAGGTGCCTGGCGTAGGCTCTCTCCTTGCCCAGTTCCTGTGTGGAGGGCCCGAGGCCAGTGGAAGATGGCTCTTGGCGGGGGCAAAAGCTTCGTGCACGGCTCTGTCTGAGAGGGGGGAGAGGCAAGGAGTTGGGGCTTGAGCATGGGTTTGAGGAGAAGAGAGCTTTGAGCAAAGGCAGAAGGAAGAGGCGAGGTTGCCGGGGGCTGGGTATAGCCAGTGGATTTCTTTTAATTTGTTGGTGCGGAGGTCGGCGACCGTGTCTCCGTCCCCGCTGACCATACTCCTGTGTACAACCGGCCCTCTCCCCGCCTAGGCGGAGTCGTCACTGCCTGAACCCCCGACCTGGCCCCCGGGGCCCCGCGCCCTCCTCAAGCGCACTTCCCCTTCCCCCTCTATGTCCCCATCGTGAGAGGCACCGTCCGCTTCCGCCGCCGGGCACCCCACGGGGTCTTCCCCCGGGATAGCTTCGTAGTTACCATACACGAGCCGCGCCCGCTCCTGCTCTCCCTTTCGTGACAGGTGCCTCGGCCGATTCCCAACCTCCGGGTAGCATGGGCCCTCCTCCTCCAGACTCGACGCACCAGACCACGCTCCTCGCCTGCCTCTTCTACCACC